GACTACTAGGAAGAATACATTGTCATCACAAGCATTCTTAAAAGTGAAAAGAGGGAGGAAAAAGAAGAGAATTACAGGTAGACATGACTATGGAAGAAAGGCACAGAGACACACAAATAGTGCTTGCCTTGAAGATAGAGAACAGGATATCCACTATGGAATTAGGGCGGCTTCTCAGCACTAAAAGGGAAAAGGAATGGATTCTCCCCAGAGCCTCTAGAATAAATGCAGCCTTCCTGATACCTTGACTTACAGACCAATGAGATCTGTGTAAGATTTGTAACTCACAGAACAGCAAGATAATACATTGGTATTTTAATCTGCTTAAGTTTCTGGTAATTTGCTACAGCAGTCATATGAAATTAATACACATGACTTTTTTTTCATATAAGAAAAAAGAGATGAGAAATTGGTAAAGTTTACATGGATATTGAAGGGGGAGAGTAAAATGAGGATACATATTAGAAAAAACCTCATTAAGTGTTGTTGATTTCTCATTTCTTCTGTACTCTCATTATATTCTTTCCTTAATGCTTCCAACATAAAGCATACTTGGAGATCAATGGAAATAGTCTTTGGCCATTTGTGGGTAAAATAAAATTATAATCTATACTACAAGATAGGAAAGTTCCTGCCCTATTCCAGAAAATAAGGATTATCATAATAAAATAACCATTCGAGTCACCTGGCTATGTTAAAATATTACACCTAAAGAAAAGAATGGTTCATTATGTACTGTAGTTTTATGTAATTACATCATAGCAATTTGTTCAAATGACCCCTTTAAGAGAAAGAAACTTTCTCTTACTGAGTAATATTACTACAAATCTTACAGAAAATGAGACATGTAATCTTGCCGCAAATCCCAAATGACTGCCCTCAATCTTTTATAAAGACTCAAAGATACCTTGAAAAGTTCAATATTGTCATAGAAAACCCATACTCACCAACTAGTCCCAAGGTCAGAAGCAAGCAGGGAAAAATCCTGAATAAAATGTCAGTCTATACAGGTGGCTTAAAGCCATGAACATACTAAATCTCTCTGGGGCAATAATATGCTTTGACTTCAAATGTCTCTATCTACTTCTTTTTGTTCTCTTCTTTGTAATGATCCTTGTATTATGTTTGCACTAATCACCAGCATCAATAGGTAAATGGTGATGGGGGTAATAAATTCTATAAAACACTCAGTGTATAGGACAGATTTATAATCTTCATTAGAGTACATAAAATACATGAATAAAAATAAAAAAGTGGATCATTTTTTATCTTAAAGTAGAGGTGGCCCTAGCAGTTTCATATGAAACATGGCTGATATAATGATGATTGCAGTGGGGGTACAGTGGGGAAGAAGAGGTGAAGAGAAATAGTAAACATTTATAAGTATGCCTTAATTAAAGATAACAAGACCATTTCTCTCATTTTAGACATTATTCAAAGAGAAGCCACAACATAGTTTGAATTAAAATCAACTCCTGATGCTCTTTTATATTGCAGAGAATATTGGATTGGATTCTGAAGTTGCTAAAGCAAACACCTTGGGTTTTGTTGGGTGCCTGTCTTCAGTGCAGTACAACCACATAGCACCCCTGAAGGCAGCTCTGCGTCATGCCACCATCGCACCTGTGACCGTCCAAGGGACCTTGACAGCATCCAGCTGTGGCTCCATGATGGATTCAGATGTGAATGCAGTGACCACTGTGCATTCGTCATCAGGTACATTCAGGGGCAGATCTTGTGAGCAGCCTCCACTAGCCTTACTTTTGGTGTCTTCAAGAAACTTCCACATTAAAGGGTTGACTGACATTACTCAATTCTTTACTTGGTATAATTTCAGTTGGTTAAAGATTATGACTGATTTCTCTTGAGTTGTTTTTATATATACCTAATAAAGTTCTACTTTTAATATATTAGAACTAAATGATTAGAATAATAGAATATATAATGATTAGAATATTAGAACTAAATACATAGTTGAATATATTACATATATGTACAATATATGTCTTTATGAATGTGTGTGTGAGGGTGAACATAATCACTACAGTTTAAGTGGCTACCACTGTGAAAATTAATGATTTGGGGGGAACACAGGAGCAATTAGAAAATTGCTAGACAAATATTATAATTTATGTGATTAAAAATAGCCTTAGTTTCTCAGATTTATTGAAGAAAATTGACAGTAATTGCATATATTGATTATTTGATTAAAGTATACATTTTAATAATTACAAAAACTAAATTACTCAACACATTCATTGCCACACATGGTTAGGTTACCCTTTGTCTGTATACATATGTGTATGTCTGTTGAAGACATATATACTCTCATAGAAAACTACAAGTAAAATTACAATATAATGAATGATAGTCACTATGCAGATTATAAAAATTAGTTCATCTTAAAGCTGAAAGTTTGGGGAACCAGCAGTTAGCGTAATGGCTATGTCGCTGGACTCCCACATAGTCAACCGCAGTTCGCGTCCCGGACACGGTGGCTTAGAACTCACGCCAGGCACGTGTTCGTGCGTGCCAAAGATCTCGGAAGGAGAATGGAGGAGAAGGGATTGCGGCGTGACCATCCCCCCTGGGGGGTGATTTCTTGCTTTCTGTCTCTATGTCTCTGTCTGTCTGTCTGGTGAGCGCACGCACCCTATAGCAAAAACCTCTCCAAAAAAAAAAAAAAGCTGAAAGTTTGAATCCTTTAACCAACATCTCTTCATTGCCCCCACAACTTATCCTTTGATTATCATCGTGCTACTTTTTTGTTTCTATGAGTTTTACTTTCGTAGATTCCATGTATAAATGAGATCATACAGTTCATCATTCTGAGTCTCACTTATTTCATTTGGAATAATGTCTCCTGGTTCATCCACATTCTTGCCAATGACATAATCTCCTTTAAAACTAAAGAATTTTCATAAAATATCTTAAAGTTTTTGTGTAACCCAATGTCTTAAGGCATTCACATCCATCAAGAGAAATAGGTTGTTTCAGTATATAGGATATTGTGAATTATGCTGCAACATTGGGGTACAGCTAGCTAGAGGCATCACACGCCGGTATTTAAATATATCTTACAAAGTTGAAACCAGCAGGTGACATGGTGATTAAAACACTGGACTCCCACATGGCCAACAGTGGTTCGAGTTCGGAATGGCAGCTTAAAAATCATGCTGGATGCAAGTGCCTGTGCATATGAGACTAAAATCCCAATAGGAGAATGGAAGAGAAGGGAATGTGGCATAGCCATTCTCCCTGTAGGGTGATTTCTCACTTTCCCTCTCTCAGTCTCTCTCGCCAGAGAACACATGTGCCCTATGACAAAATATAATCAAGAAAAAAACTATATTACAAAGATATAATAATCAAAACAGTGTAATACTGACATAAAAACAGATACATAGATGAATAAAACAGAAGAGTGAACACAGAACTAAGGCATATATGGTCATCTAGAAGTTCATGAAAAATGTATATTTTTAGAAAAATATGCATGTATTTAAAGTTTTAGACCAAAATGATTGCATAATTTAATTCAATTTTTCTTTTTACTTACCGGAGTCCCTTGTATTATCAACAAATTTTTGGTAAAGTTTCCAAAAATATATAATGGGAAAGGAATGTTACTGAGAAAACTATGTTCACATACAAAAAAAAAAAAGTGAAAGTGGGTTCTTGTCGTATACCAAGTAATTTTATTTTTTTGTAGCATTTTTTTCTGAAGGCATGTGCACTCACTGGAGAGAGAGAAAGAAAGAGACAATGAAAGAGAAAGTGAGAAATCAACCCCTGGGGAGATGGTCACACCACATTGCCTTCTCCTCTATTCTCCTTCCGGTATCTTACACACACGTACCCAATGTGAGTTTCAAGCCACCAGGTCTGAGACTTCAGCTACAGTAGGCCATGTGGAAGTCCAGGGAGGTAACTGTTATGCCATCTGTTGCCCTCACACCAAATAAAAAATTTTAATAACTTGAGGGACAACCTAGATCTGGTAGCTTTAGAAATATGATGGATGTGTGTCAGTACATGCCTAAAATCCTGAAGAAAAGGAGAGATATAGGAGATGGGATTGTGCCATGACCATGCCCCATGGGGGTACTTTCTCATTTTCCCTCTTTCATCCTCTCTGTTTCTCTGTGGTGAGTACCAGAGTTGTCCTCTGTCAAACTTAAACAACAACAACAACGAAAATAACTTAAAATGGATTAAATAAAGTCTCAAATGTGAGTCCAGAATTCATAAAATTCCTGAGAGTAAAAGCTCCTTGACATTGATTTTGGCCATAATTTCTTTTGGACTTGACACTAAAAATACAGTAAACAAAAGCAAAAATAAACTAGTGAGATCACATTAAATTAATTAAAAATTGTCACCACAAAAAGGAAATAAATGAAATGAAAAGGAAGCCTACAAACTGGAAGAAAATATTTGAAAAGCATATGTCTGATAAAGAATTAACATTCAAAATATATAAAGGCCCCATACAACATAATAGTAAAAAACAACCCAAATAAAAAATAGGCCAAAGACCTGAATAGACACTTTTCCATAGAAGACATAAAATTAGCCAACAGGTACATGGCAATGTGACCCAAATCAGTAATCATCAGAGATATGCAAATCAAAAGAACAGTGAGGTATCACCTCACACCTGTTAGAATGGCTATTATCAAAAAGACTAGAGATAACAAGTGTTGGTGAAATCCTGTACATTGTTGATGGGGTTGTTAATGAGTTCAGCCCTTGTGGAAAACAGTATTGATGTTCTTCGCAAAATTAAAACTTGAATTCCCACTATTAGATATGTGTGTACGAAAGGGAAATAACATCATCCTTTCTTAAATATAGTAAAAATTCTACAATATCATAATCCATATATTTTCTCTTGCTTTATCACTTCTTAAGTACCTTTTCTATCTCTTCTTAGTCACCATCATTCTGGGGGGGGCGTGTCTTACAATATGTCAGAGAGTTGTTTAATCAGGTATGCAAAAATGACAGACATGGAGACAACTGCCTTTTATTTTTAAAAAATATATATTTTCAGGATTTTTCATATAGGGTGTGCATACATTCACTGGAGACAGACTGAAAGAAAGTGAAAAATCACCTTCCAGGAAAGAGATGGCCATTCCACAATCACTTCTCCCTTCTCCTGTCAAGATTTTGGGCATGCATGTACATGCACCCAGGGTGATTTTCTAGCTGCTAGTCTAGGGCTGGAACTGCATAGCTGACCATGTGTGATCAGCACCTTAACCTCCACACTGTCCACTTTCCCCTAACATTTTTATTTTACAAGGAGCATTTTGAGTTGAGTTGTTTTGAATAGGTTATGTGATCTTTCTTTTGTGTTACTTATCACACATCTTTTAAGAAGCTACTCTGTGTTATCTTTCATAGTTAGTGCAGACACACAATTAAATATTTGAAGTCCCTAACTTCAAGAAACTGGTGGAATATGATAGTTCTGGGATTTAGGAGGCAACTATGGATGCCTGAGATTATGCCATAATACAATGTGAGCAATGCTACAACAGAGGTATGAAGAGAGCTTTGGGTGTTATGGAACTTAGAGAAAGGAGTAAGTAATTTCTCGAGATGAACTGACGATAGATTTATAGAGAATCTGATGCAGTTATCTGGGAACAAGTGTTTACAGTATTCCAAAAGTAGAAGCCCATTATAATGGAAAACACATAAACTGAGATGTGAATTTCCAGTTGGAATTAGCATTTTTAATAATTGAGGAAAACCTCATCCCCTCACTGGCAAATCATCAAGTACAGATATTTCAAAATAAAAAAAAATAGTATATATGTGTGTGTGTGTATATTAAACAGAAAATATTAGTAATATATAATATTATAGAATATGTATTTTAGTAGAATCACTTAGGGGGTAGTTTAAAGTTCTTTACAGTAATTTTGACATATTGGGAAAAGAGGAGGGACTACTGAAATAAATGGGCAACCATTCTGTGTTACTTTGCAGCAGGTAGTCATCAAGCATTGATAGAGACACTGTTTTTATTTTCACAGTTATGTTACTGAAACTTCATCTTGTCATAACTGAAGTGTTTTATTTGCAGCTTTAGTAAATATGGGAGAGTTAGAATTAAAGTGAGATAATGTGTATTAAACATAAAAATCAATAAAGTATGCTAAAAACAGAGAAATCTGGACTAAAATCAAGGTTGATTGATTTATATTGATGAAAGTAGTACCTGGACTAACTCAAGGAGGAAGCAGTGGAAGTTGGAGTAAGAAAAAGGCCATGATCTGAACCCTGATGCATGGTTAGGATTTGAATAACTAGAAAGAAGCAGGAAGCGTTCCAGGAAGGAGGGTTGGCCAGGAATATACAAGAATAATAGCAGGTAGCATGGTGGTTAAGGCACTGGACTCCCATATGGCTAAGTACACTTTGAGTTTTGGACCTGGTAGGAAAGTGACCTTTCTTACTTTCCATCTCTCTCTCTCTCTCTCTCTCTCTCTCTTCGATGGGTGCACATGCCCTATAACAAATTGAAAAAGATTAATGATAATAAAATAATTCTAGAAATAAAAGAATAACACACTTTTGATAATAGCAAGATGTAGGAGAGCCAATAATTAAGTGATTTAGGTTTTTTTCCCTGTCTGCCTTTTGCCTGCCTGCTTCTATACCATTTCCCCCATCTTCTCCTTCCTCTATTCTTCTGACTCTTCATTTTCTACCTTACCTTCACCTGACTGTTCCTTCTTTCTCTCACCATCATCAACTTCACTTTCATTCTAATCACTTGGTAACACATATATGTATATGTGTCTGTATATGTATGTATACATGCACGCATGTGTGCCATCTAGACACATAAGATGATTCATAGCATTAACAAGCTTCAAACCCAATCCTTTCCCCAGATCCACTCTGTCAATGCCACCCATCTAGAACAAGTGCTTCAAGCCAGCCCCTTCATAACTACTATGTCCTTCCCTTTTGGCCCCATCAGCCTCTCTCTTTTGTTAACTTTTACCAGCTCCTGTTTCTTGGGTCCTAAGAAGAAAGCTCTTGAAATACACTACAAATAGCATAACCCACTGAGGTAGGAGACAGAGAACCTAAAAATATAGTTAGGATATAGGCCAAAAATGAAATCACAATGGCTAAGATTTAAGAAAGAAAGCAACTTGACTACTTGCTCAGGTGAGACAGCTTACAGTAGCTGCCCAGTGACTAACCTAGGCACCATGACCTAGACCAAAAACAAAGGCATTTTTCCAGGACCATCTCATTCTGGGAAGAAGATTAGATAATTTTTTTATGGCCCAAAGCTTCTAGACAAAAAAAAA